ATGCAGAATCTACACAATGTGGCAAGCATAGCGCAAGGTCTTTTTTCTTTCCTATATAGTGATACTCCGACTTTCATCAATCTCGGAAGAAAAAAAGCGAGTGCCTCGATCTGAGCTCGAACAGGGGACATACCGGTTCAACGCTCAACCGACTGAACAACCCTGGCCTAGCAAAAGCCGATCTTATATCCCGAAACAACTGGTGCCGAAGCCACGGTAAAAACTGAGCATTGTTTCCTTCCCAACTCCAGGTATATTCAAATATCATCTGGTGTAGTAACAGCAAGAACAACCTTGACCGAAATATCGAACCGATATCAGAAATAATAGCGCAGTTTCTTGGCGTAGCTAGAATCATCAATTGAGTCAGTGAAACGTAAGAACTACTCGCTTGGGCGAGCAGCCGAACACCTGATGGTTCAAACAACAAATGAGAGCAACTAATGCCATTCGCGGAACTTCTCTCTTGGATTGTTCACCCACCAACAGGGAACGTGAGCTGAGATAAGACTATCGTGAGACATGTTAATTTACCCTAATCATAACATATCGTTGCAAAATAATCACACTCCGTAAGAGACGTACCGCTGGTTCCTATATTTGATTTGTGTACCTGGTGGACAACAGAGTGACTGCCAGTCCAGTGCTGATCCATTTATAACACCGTGCTGTTTGTTTTGTGGAAAAACTTCATTTATGAAAATTCGCACCCTACTGCGAATTATTTCCGCTTACGCATGGCTAATATTTCTCGTTTCTTTATTAACGCTGATAGGAAAACAGCCTAGTTGGTTCATGCAGCATAAACTTTTAGATTATCTGAGCGTTTGATGTTCGCATGATTTATCTGAGCATGTATTCAAAGTACTGATCAAGTACTCAACAAATGAAATCATGCATACCTCCCAAAGTAACATTTCCGTGCAAAAATCGACCGTGGTAGATGAGTTTCAATATCGACGCATTCTGCACTCGTTCGGACTCCCATTCTACAGTCAGTTAAGTTAGTTCAGCGAATTCACGTTGGCGAACACTGCTACAATAATTCTTACCTTCAGGCCAATTTTCGAACACATACTGCGCGATTTCTGAGGCGGACAATGTTGTGTCGAACTGGAATTCATGTGTTTTCCCGCTTACGAGTATCAGCCGTAAGTTAATCTGAAAGCATGCAAATTCAGACTTTGGCAGAATACCAAACAAGTAACACTTCAACAGCAGAAACAAACACCAACATAACCCTTTTGGTGAAAACCTGAACAATGCAGCGAATTGCCGACGGTTACCAGTACATATGCATACAAAGATAAAACATTACATGATGGAGGCACTAATCAAATGCCAAATGCAACCTTATTAACGTGGGTACTCAGCCCTCACCCTGATACCCCAGATAACTATAACAACAAAGACTACAAATACAACGATGTGCTCTTAGAAGGACCTAGTGAAACCGAAAAATGATAAGAAAAACTTTGTGATGCCATGTTTGTAATCAAATTATGCCGGAAGTCTGAGCCTATCGCTCATGGAACATTACAACCAAGTCGAAGTGAAGACTGTTCGACATGATCGTAGCGAAAATCCAATTTTACTGGTACAATGACGTTTCGAGTGGATAAAAAAATCCGTGTGTTTGAATGATTGAAGACTGTTGCGTTCGAGTATCGAACAGGTTGTTGTTCAAGTTCAACAGAAGATACGATCTTCCGACGATGCATCACAAGGTTTTAGAATATCAAAGAGCAGAGCTGCGATCTGTTCGAAAATGATGTCCTAAGCAGCTATTCACCAGATGCGGTACACCGAAGTAGTGCAAATCTGCAACAGTGGTCCGTACGTAATTCTAATCTTCTAATCTTCGGTAACCTTCATATTTTGCCGATAAAAAAACTTTACAGTGAGCAATATTGCCAAGAGAACACTTTTTCTTCTTCTAATCCTTTAACGCTAAATTGACATCGATTTTC